GCAACATAACAAAATTGAAAAAAGTGAAGGGGGTCTGAATACTTTCCGAATGCACTGTACACTTGAGTTTCCTTGTTATGGACCTTCTGATGAAACACAACTAGAAATCTGGATGGAACTTTTGTCCCCCTTCCCTTTTTGTATTTTTCATTGCAAAATGACTTGAGATTTAGGAAATGAAGGGATCATATTCTTTTTCCTGTGGAAGAATTCTGCTATTGGGAGCAATTAATCAGTTTGCTCCAATTATGCTATAAAGCATAATTGGAGTAATTTTATATCATTTATTATATTTTGTTTTTTCCAAAATGAATTAATAAATAAAAACATTAAAAGTTTTTTCTAATTCTGGAGCAAATTGTTTCCTGTGGTGAAGTCTTAATATTTATCCTTACTTAATAAGTTTGTTAACAGGCATCTGAAGCCATCAAAAAAAAGGTAACTACTGTCCCCATAACTGGGTTTATGCATAAAGTTAATAGAGGAATTTTTAAAAAAACCATGGTTAGCACCCTAGTTTCCATAAAGCTAAGTGATAATAGATAGATTCTCAAAATGCATGACGCCAATAGCAAATAAGCAACATTGTGGTTTAGCAATGAGGGTACAGGACCTTAATTATATTCCAAAGTGCATTGTTAGTCTTTAACTTCTATCAACATCACTATTGCATTCTCAAATTTTTAAAAGGAAGATTTATGTCAAAGAGCATCTTAAGAAAATAGCATTTTCAAGACAGAATCCCATTTTCAGAAGGGTGAAGTATAATACATAGACATTTCAAATACTTTTTTGCATTATATGTATGGCAATAAAACTTAGACACTGGCTGAGCTCGTATGAACAGTTCTACACACAATTACTTCAAACTATTCAGTAAGCGAAAACTGCATTCTTATGTTCTGCTCGTACTCTTGGTCAGTATAACACGGGGAGCAGCCCCATACCTCCTTGAATTAAACTTTATATATTAGTTGGAGCATAAGTAGTATGAGCAATACCTGTATAAAACCTGTATCGCAGCTCCCGATTATATGTAGAACCTGTCATTGCATTGGGAATAATGCAAATGCATGCAGTTAGTTCTTCCTTTATGCACTAATTATGGTGTGAGAAGAGGTTTGAGCTTGTCACTGTGACCATAGAAGATACAAAGAAGAAACAAGCCAAACCCTCTGAAGAAATCATAACACTGAAGTCAGCAAGTCTTAATGTTGCAGAAAAGAGCAGGAATTATAGAAACGTAGCCAGGAAAAAGTTTGGCCTGAGGAAATGGGACACAATAGATTGGCTGAAATGAATGGGAATGAAGCCATTGGTGGGGAGAGTTGAAGAAAAAGCAAGGCAAGGCAAAAGTAGGATGGTGTAGTAGGACTTCACATATTCACAGATAGATACATATTCTTTGGTATGAAGTGACTGGAAGCAGAAAGCAAAGAAAAGAAGTTTGCAAGTTCTTTGCTCTGGGGAAAAAGGCTTTTTATCGTAACAGCTTTACAGAAGAAGAACAGGTGTGTCTTTTATAAACTCTCTGAGGACAAGGTATGACCAAGTAGGAAGACAACCGGCTGATAATGGATGATAATGAGCCAAACAAGATTTCAGGTAATAGAATGAGAAATGGGAGAAGTCTAACCAATTGCTTAATGCAGAAATACAGATTAATGCATCCAGGGCAGATGGTTCTCCTGAACCAATCCTGTAAAAACTCCCTCAGTAACTGCTTCCTGTTCAATAGCATTTTATTATTGTACTGTGTGTAATTTTAAAGGTACAGTTATAGCATTTTAAACATTAAGAAAACTCTTACTACTATTAGAATAACATTCCCTATTTGGGGGCTATGTAGGTCCAAACTGAACATTTATTTGCTCTCCAGTGTTAGCTCAGACTAACAGCAGAGAGAATCTGAGGTTTTAACCCCCAGTTTTTCTCTTGCACTTGATATCAGGTAATCACTGTTTTAAGCGTAGCAGTGATTACCTGATAACAAGCATATATTCTGGGGTAGAGAAACAAATTTGGTTCAGGGGCAAGGTTGCTTTCACACACCTAGTAAAAATTATATTGGGTAGGACTTCAAAATGGCCAATATCTCCCCCAAACCCCACCTTCAGAATATCTGTGCAGAAAAAGGCAGGAGATGTGGACTCCTTATCTCCCTCTTTCTTGAGGAAAGCAGCCTTTCCTTGTGCAGAAGAAGACATGGAACAATTTACCCAATTATCTTTCTTCTTATCTCCAGTTACTAGCTGATTAAAGGTTTTTAAAAAACAGACACAATCCAGACAAGAACCTCAGAATACTGGGGTGAAGTACTCCCCTCAAGTACTCAAAAATAGTATAGGGAGATGTGTCACTTAAGGAAAAGCAGCTGGCAGGTTGGATGGGGGATCTTATTTTCAGCCTATCGGTTGGAAACCCTTTATGAACTAACATATACATTACTTTAGGTCTAAAATTCATGAAAACATAGAGCACATCCAGATGTGTGGTTTAACTTGGTTTGATCCAGTCTGAGATGCAGTATGATTATGCCAACCTAAATTTGCTCCACCATTCCCCCTAATGTGGTCTAGGGCTGGTAGAAGATGCAGGGAAACAACAAGACTTGTGTCTGGAAAAGATGGAAAATACTACTTCCACATTGTATTAGAAAAAAATAACTCAGCTGGCCTTGGCAGTGGGCTGGAGATGAGATGAAGGCGATGTCATGGAGAGATGCTCTTGGTTAGCCAGGTATCCTCAGGCCAAAGTTGGGGGGATGTGCAGATGTGTCCATAGCCTGGAAACGCATGTTGAGTGGTGTTAGTGGAACCTGATTTTGAATAGATATGATCTGACTGTGAAGAAAAACAGCTTATGGTTCCTCATAATAGGCATATCTGCTACTTCTGTTGAAAGCTAAGGAGAGCTTTTCACTTTCCACTGTATTCTGTAAGTAATTTAGATAAAATCATGAAGTTTGGGCTTTTCTTCTCGAATTACTTTTTTAAGGCACAGAATGACAACCATTAGATGTATGCAGCTGGGAAGAGGGGTGAAGATGGCAAGGGAGGACATATAAAGGCCAGTTATTATTTTGGAGAAGGTTGGAAACCAACGAATCAGCCACTAGTGAAAACGTTTTGATTGGTCCACTCATAATCCCTTCCGGCATTTTTATATTCCATTGCTGAAATAAAATAATGAACTATTTCTTCTTTCTACAGGCAGAAAAGCGATGATAACTGTATACTTATTAATTAAAGATGGTTGGCATGGCCCAAACTGTCTACAAACTGCTGGAAAGCTGGCCATCCTGAATCTATTGGAAACACTGCATGGGCAAGTGTCTTCTACAAACTCCTGACCTTAATGTATTTCAAGGAAAGAGAAGCAGCAATGTTTTTCTGCCATCAACAATGGGAAGCTCAAAATCTGTAGTACAAGTGTTGGATAAGCAGCTTACAAACTGATTGCAATAGCTGATCTTAAGAGGAACGTGCAGTGGGCTCCTGAATCTTAAGTAGTTGTTGTGCACTCTTCAATTGTAACTTGCTTTCTAAATATTTTATATTAAAGTATTTAAATGAGACTCACTTCTTGAACACAATATTGCAATTCTTGGTGACTGTAGCACTTTTTTTGCTTGTTGGTTTTAAAGTTGTATTTACAATGGAGCACAGTGGGTTTTTCCTCTGAACATAATTTATTTGTTCAATGCATACAACCCACAGCAATATATATATATGAATGAATAATGTTCTGGTTTGGGGTTCATTAAGCTGGCTTAAAACTGCCAGATGTTGAATGCTCGTTTGATTAGGTAAGCACTTTTCTCCCTAAAACCTCAGTATTAGTGCTGTTTTTATTTGAATGCCCAGAGTTCCCTCCATTATCCATTGAAATCTGACGCTGCAATTCTGTGTGTCCTTAAACTCAAAGGAGCTTCTGGAATTTTGCTCTTGAGTAAATGGGCATAGGGTTGGCTGACACTGCTATAGTAACTGATATATAATTTGCTAATGCATAGGATTTGATATAGGAAAAGATACAGCTTGCTCCTCAAATTATGATAATGTGATAAGAAAGCTTATTTAAGAAACCCTAACTAGCCATGGTTCGTGCTGAAGTGCCCCTGAAAGAAATTGAGCCAACTCTTTTAAAATGGTTGCACTTTTCCACTTATCCATGCCCAAATGGGAATTTTGCCTGGCCAGTAAATGAGATGTGCCAACAAAGGCAGTAATTGGAGAAATGGAGATCTGTTTTCATAGCAAAAAAGAAATTGTTCTTCTAAGCCAATCAAAAAGCCCAGTTAGAGAATAAAGTTGGCCAGGATCCTTGCTGAGAGAGAAATGAAAATAGCTGTTTTTTCATCATGGATGTTTTCTTTTACTTCCTTCCCTCTTCCTGTGTTTGTCAAAGCTACCCCAAGGGAGGGAAATGTTTGGGACAGGAGGAATTTGGTGGATTGGAGATGAAGAGACCAGAAACTTTCTGATGGGATGCTCTCATTATGTAATATTAGTGTTGAGCTGCTGCTGCTGCTTCTGCTGCTGCTTCTACTACTACTACTACTACTACTACTACTACTACTACTACTACTATCACCAATTGAGTATGTGCCATCAAGCTGGTGTTGATTATTAACCACATAGACTGATTTTCTCCATAAAGATTTCTCCCTAACCTGGTCCTTAAGGTCTTCCAATGATGTACCCATCGCCTACCACTATTATTACTACTACTATTTTGCCATGGACTTTGAAAAGACAGTTGTCGACATATGCTATCATTGGCCTACATGTAAGCTGCTGCCACTTTCTGTGCAGCTGCAGTTTATATGGATGCTTGGCAGAACAACAGTTTGTAAATCAGGAAAATAGCCAAGATCTTGTACAGAATTTCCACTGACATTTACTGAAGTTAGCTAACTCTTAAGAATGCTTACAATAATAGTTTTCAACCCCAGGAAATGTAGTATACAGGCAATATGAACCTGTAATGGAGGATTCAGTGCATATTTAAATTATGGAATTTGCTGCCCTCTGATGTGATGATGGACATAAATTTTGATGAGCTAGAGAAATTAATGGAAGACCAGATTAGCAATGTCTACTAATCTGATAGCTATAGGCCACTTCCTGAATCACAAGCAGCCTATCAATATGCTACAGAACAACCGTGGAAGGAGACTATTGATTTCTTGTCCATTCTAATGAGCTTCCTGAAGTGTCTAAGTAGATGAGTGTGAAAGCTACTTTATTTTATCCCCTTTTGCTGTACCCATAAACTAAAGCAGGGTGACCAGTGAATCAAGACCGACTTTTTGGTACAATTTAAAATGCATTGGAATAACAGACAAATTGGTGATAAGTCACCCCCCCCAAAAAGATTTTTTTTCATGATAAAAGTGGTCCATGCTTTTAAAGGACAATACATCTCTAATGAAGAATTGACAAAATTCTTCTAAATTCTGACTAAGATTATTAAATCATGTCAAATGGTATATAAGAAGCCAATCTAAGAATGAGTGGCAAAAGGCATAATGTAACTTCATATATATGTATACATATTCATTTTATATATAATTCCAGCCATTGCTAACTGTGTTCTCAGTGTCAACATACCTAACTTTTAAATATTGAACATAAAGGAAAATATTGTGTTTATTATTTTAATGGAATATTTAGCTATTTTCAGGCTCAACATATCAAGAATGCAGAGAAGAGTCTGGGAAGTTCAGAAAGGAAATTCTGGAGGGGAAATGTTTTAATATCAGCTAAGGAAATTCTGGGCTTTGGAGAGAAACTCAAGAGAAGTACCTTGAGTTAGAAGAAATCAGCACATCTCCATAGTTTCCAGAAAAAAGAAGCATCCCTTTTTGTTAGCATTTCTATAGTTAGTGTGTATCTCTTAGTGACTTAGGTGTGACATCTCATGAATTGTTAGATCTCTATGCTTCTGATGACATCTCCAAATTGCTTTAGTTGCTACTAGTTGTTCTGGGGCCTCCCAATTAAAGCTGAAGCAGTATTAAATGAATAAAGCTTTACTAATGTTTTTGAGCCTGTAATACTAAATGGGACTTTTTAATAATCAAATTATAAATTTGCCTATTCCAAATGCTTTGTTCTTGGCACCAAAATCATCTTACTGGGTTACCTAGTTTCTATGCTTTTCACCTGATACCTCTGCAATTCTTTTTTAATATTATAATTTTATAAAACGTTATTTTACAATAAAGCAAAATATTTTACGGTCAGTTCATGCACACTCCTTGTCATCAGTACATATCAAAGCTAATGCCAACTTTCAAAGCAACTGAAGTTACTTGTGTCTACATTCCAACAGAGCTGTTTGATAAAGTTAATAATAACAGAAAAGTTACTTTAAACTTATTTAAGGAGGAGCAGTGTAGATTCTTAACATTTCTGTCAGTTTTTATGTGTTCTAATAATATCTGTTTTCCTCCATGGTCTGATGGGAGTGTGCTATAAACAAAGATAAAATTATCCTTTTAATTGCTCATTTTAATTATGAGGAGTTGCAAGTGTGTTGTTTTTGCTGCTTTAGATTTTATAGTAGAACAGAATATCTGCTTTATCATCCTCCTTTCCATGAACTTGTGTGCCACCTTCTGTTCTTATAGCTCTCATTGCTGACTTGAAGGAAGAAAAGAGAGAAGGAGAAAGAGAACATCTAATACAGATTCTTTAAAGCAATTTTTAGTTAGATCAAAGCTTCTGAAAACAAGACTTTCTGGTCCACTTAAGGCAATCATTGATTCAAGCCATGTCACCAATGTTGTTTTTTTTTAAGTTCAGAGCTACCACAATTCATTTGATTCATGTTCTAACAGGTTCTAATTCCTCCTTCATAGCATTCACAAAGCATGACTTTGAAATCAACCCTGACTTCATTGTCCTCTATTCCTTGTTCATGACTTGACTAACATAGCCTTTGACCTAACACAGTAGAGCTCTTTGTATGATCTTAATTCTTATAACACAGTTTTTCAGGAAAGCCATCACCCATAAACTCCTTCAGTTTATATCGATTTGCATTTATGACTTGTTATATTTTGTTGAAATTCTTCCATCTTCCCATGTGGTAACAAAAACCATTCAATAACTTCAATTTCCTGTATTGACAGATGAAATATTTTGGCATTTTATCATTTCTTTTCCTTATCTTCCAATTTCCAAGTCAATGAGTATGTGGACATGCTGTGTTCATTTAAGATAGGGGGTATGTGTGTGGATAAGTCAACTTAATGACAGAGCAACATACCATTCCTTCAACCCCAGCCATCCCAATTTTTTATGTCAACATTGAGCATTCTCCCTTAGACTCTAATGCACATTTTATGATATAGAAAGAAAATGCTATGAGTTCTGATAACGTGTTGCAATACTACCATGACTATTCTTAAGTATTTGGAGAGAAGAGTCAGTATTAGTTGAAATAGTAGAAGGACAAAGCAGTCCATGGGTGTGTTACATAGTAGGTAGTTAATACTGTTCTGAAATATAAAGGCATAGGATAGCAAACTACACTGAGTTTTTCAGAGGGACATCAGTGACTCTATGACATTGCTATTGCATTTGTATCCTGCTTATGTTTGATTGAAATAAAGCAGTGCCAGTGTCTGTTAGGAATTAGATTTATCCATATACTTTTTGGGGGGAAAAAATCTTGCATTCCTATAAATGTATGTACATCTGGTTGTAATTAGTTGTTAATATAGGAAATACTATATATTTTCACCATCATGCAAGTATAAAATCTGGCGCTGCATGTTTCTTTATGCTTTTAGCAACCCTTGCTCTCAATTTATTTTTAAACTGGATTCTGCAGCTCAATCTGGAATCTCTGAAATGAGTTTGAGAATTAATGCAGTAAGGAGGAAGTTCAATGGATATTCTTTTTTCATACTAGAGCCTCTAAGAAAACACTTGGCAGCAGTGTGTTGGATAGGATCAAATTGGTACATATCACACTTCTAGTATGAACATGCACTTGTTTACCTGGGAAGAAATGATAAATCAGGCAAACTTCCTCATTGGTTAGAATGTATAGAATTGCAGCTTTAAGCAAGCAGTGGTGCTGTTTTATTCCACTTGTGGATATTTTAGGTTTTAAACTAATAGTTCTGGGGAAAAACAAAATGAAGCCTCCATAAAACCTGAAATTTTGCCTAGTTTGTTAAAACAAGTTAGTCCAACATCTGGTAGCACTGTATTTGGGAATTTCTGTGTTTATAGACGATACCATGGGGATAATTGGAGTGGTTGCATAACAAAGATTAACAGCATGCTAAACATTTACAACAGTAGGTTTGGTTAAAAAAAATGAAAGCTGATGATTGTTAAACTGCCAATGTTAATAAATGGCTTTAACATAGTATAAAAACCACTTATACTATTTTAGATACAGCACTAAACCATGATTGTGTTACATGCAGTAAAAAGTATGTGGTTTGGGCATGTAAACACTCTCTTTTCTTGCATGTAGCAGCTGAGAACTTTTGCTACTAGTTTGGTAGCAATTTTTTTCCATTCACAACTCATGCTAGGATAAATGTATAGTCATA